TTTTTTTTTTTTTCCTTTTTGTCTTTTTTTTTCGTGACCGGCAACGGATCGCAACCGGCAACGGATCGCAACCCTCAGTGTCACGCCTGTACCGGACCGGGACTGGCCACGGGATCGCAACCCTCGGTGTCGCGTCTGCACCTCGCTCAGCCAGTGAGCGGCCGGTCTGTATGTGGAATCCGACCCCTCGGCGGGAGCGCCACCGCGCTCCCAAGCGGCGCACTGTAGCAGTGCACCACCGGGCCGGCCCAGTTCTCAAATTTTGATGCTTCTAGAACACCTCTTAAATAATTCTTTCTATGTAGTTATTATTATAGTTTTCTAAAACTCCTTGAGCAGTTTTGGTAGAAATAACACTGTATTGATGGCAGAATGAGACTAGATTGTAATCTTTTTTGGTTTTGCCATGATCTAGCCAGGTGATCTTTAAACAAGTTGTTTAACCTGTTTGGTCCTTATTTCATATATGTAAGTAGAGTTTTGGAAAGGATTCCTGCAGCTCTAGTGTTCTTTGGCTCTTAAAAAATTTTTTTCACTGTTTTGTTGAGAGATACTTTACATGTCATAAAATTAACCCATTTCATGTATACAATTCAGTGATTTTGGGTAAATTTATAAAATGATACAACCATTAGCATAAATCAGTTTTAGAACATTTTCATCCCTGTAATAAAATTCCTCGTGCTCATTTACAGCCAATCCCCATTCCCACCTCCTGACAACTACTAACGGACTTTATGTCTCTATAAATTTACCTTTTCCGGTCATTTCATATAAATGGGATCATATAATATATGATCTCTTGTGTCTGGATTCTTTTACTTAGCATAATGTTTTTGAGGTTCATCAATGATATAGCATGTTCAGTAATTCATACCTTTTTGTTGCTGAATAGTATTCCATTATATGGATTTCTTTTCTTTTTTTGGGGGGGTTTACCTGTTCACCAGGTGACAGACATTTAGGTTTTTACTATTATGGGCTATCATGAATCATATTTCTGTAAACATTCATGTGCAAGTCTTTGTGTGGACATATGTTTTAATTTCTCTTGGGTAGATACCTAGGAATGAAAGTGATAGGTTGTGTGGCATTCCTATGTATCTTTTTGAGAAACTGCCAAATTGTTTTCCAAAGTGGCCACACCATTTTCCATTCCCACTAGCAATGCATGAGGGTTTCCATTTTTCTGGCTTTTTGATGATCTGGAAATACACTCTGATTTGAGATTGCTATTTTTTCTTTAGCATTTTATTAGCAACAAGCTACCTTCTCTTTGGACATCATTAGTAATTAGTCTTTATTAGG